ATTCTCAGAGTGAACGCTGTGAGAGTCGAGTGTAATATAACCGCTGGAGCTTACTTGAACGGAAACACCGTTCACGATATTCACGAATTTTTTCCAGCAGTACCGCCTGGATATAAAATTATTGAAATTCCCTCTCGCGTGATTTATCTTCCAGTTACGAAAAAGTCTTTAGATTATTTACAATTACGCATCGTCGGTCAAGACGGAAATTTAATTAATTTTCGCGGTGAAGTCATAACCATCAGATTACACCTCAAAAGCGTATAATGGGAATTATTTGCGATTCAAAGAGTGGTAGGGACTATATAAGCATTGAAAAATGCAAACCCATCATCAGTCGTCGACTGAAATTGAAAACGTCAACACGACGAACTCCAGTCATCAATCTTCATCGGAAAGCGAAAGCTTTAACACGTCAAAGCATAAAGTTCCTAAAAAGTCTTGGGTTAAGAGTAGTTCCAGGTGGAAAATAAATTGCCTAATTTTTTCTTTTTGCTGCTGCTTTCAACGAAACAATGGAGAACATTCTCGAAATACAGTCACCTGTCGTCTTCGATGAATCTTTGGCTCATTACGAGATCCACGCTCATCAACCTTACACCAATTCATCGTTCAAAAATAGTGACGAGATTCGTATATCAATTCAACATCAAGACTTGTGCCTTTTACCATCTCGCAGCTCGTTACACATTTGTGGACGATTACGCAGCAACAATAACACTTTGTTAACGAATACTGATTTTGTTAATAATGCCATTTGTCACATGTTTGAAGAAATTAGGTATGAGCTGAATGCTATAGAAATAGATAAATGTAAGAACGTTGGTCTCACAACCGTTACGAAGAACTGGTTATCTCTCACTCCAAGTCAAACCTTGATTGCCGAAAATGCCGGATGGATAAATACCTTAGAACAAGAGGACCGTAAAATAACTAATGCGAATGGCTACTTTGACATTTTGATTCCTCTGAGCTTCATACTTGGATTCGCTGAGGACTATCGTAAAGTGCTAGTGAATATGAAACATGAATTAATTCTCGTAAGATCGAGTACTGATTTAAATGCAGTTTATCAAACGAAGAAGACCGTGGCTAACGTTGAAGCTTACGAAGAATTCAAGATTAATGTAACACGTCTCGAATGGCTTATGCCCTATGTGACTGCATCGAATGCAAAGAAAATACGTCTACTCGACTTTCTAAAAAGCGAACGAAGTATTTCAATGAGTTTTCGTAGTTGGGAACTGTACGAATATCCAGCGCTGCCTGCAAACACAAATCACGTCTGGACAGTTAAAACGACAAATCAGTTGGAGAAACCACGCTACGTCATCTTAGCCTTCCAAATCAATCGAAAAAATGAAACAAACTCTAACGCTAGTATATTTGATCATTGTAACATCAGAAATGTAAAACTGTACCTCAACTCTCAGTGCTATCCATACGGTAATCTCAACATTGATTTCAGTAAAAACCAGTACGCAATGTTGTACGATATGTATGCCAATTTTCAAAACGTATACTACGGTAAGGATGCCGAACCGATGCTCAAAAAACTCGAATATAAAAATTACATGCCACTCGTAGTGATTGACTGTTCGAAACAAAACGAATCATTAAAGACTGCTCCAGTAGATGTGCGCTTGGAGTTCGAAACCAGAAAAAATATTCCCGAAGGAACTACAGCGTATTGTCTTATTCTACACGATCGCATCGTTCAGTATAATCCGATAAATGGAGATGTGAAGAAACTTATTTAGGAGAGGGGGGGGAGGGGTATTAAAGAATTGACTCTTTCCTTAAGCAGCTCAGTAGTAGCTTTCTATCGGAATGGAGTACGTAGTGGATATGCAAGGCTTCATGATGCCTGGCAAAACTTATGCCGTGAAAGAGTTAGCGATACTCCCACTTAACTACAACGAAGAACCGCTCGTACGCTTGTTCAAACCTCCCTTTCCATGGCAAAGGCTAACGGAGAAATATAAGCGAGAAAATCTCTGGTTAGAACTCTACTATCATGGATTAACATGGAACTCTGGCGATTATAAATACGAAAAGCATAAATTCATCATCACAGATACACTCAAAGATGCCACAAAAATTTTTGTTTCCGGAGATTTGAAAAAAGAGTGGTTAGAACGATATGGCCTCAAAGTTTTCGATTTGAATGATTGGGGCTATTCGCCTTTCGAAAAATTAAAATTAGTTACCGTGTGCCCTAATCATAACGGCAAATACGTAACGACATGTGCACATCAAAACGTTAAAATAATGAAAAAGTTTTATATCGATGGCTGTTGTATGGATTGGGAAGAGAGCGATGGAGTCGTTGAAGGATTTCTATAGTGATTTTGTTTTTTAAGTAAATACTTTGTAGAATAATATGTATTTTTTTAAGAACATGTAGAATAACATATATTTTTTATCAATAAAAAAATTTTTGTTTGAATAGATACAAAAAAATATTCTTTTATTTTTTATTAAACCATCCAAAAAAAAAAAAAAAAGCGAAATTCTTCGCTGACTCTGACGATGACAGCAGCAGTAGCAGCAGTTCATCTTTTTATAATAAATTTTGTATTTTTTTATCAACAAAAAAAATTTATACAACATAGAATTTAGACAAAAAAAATGTTTATTTATTAGTTGAGGTGATGTACAATGATGACATGTATAAATATGATTATTTCTTCTTTTCGTTATTGAACTGCTGATAGCCTTTTTGTTCAGGAAAATTTTTAGTATTGCTCGAAAATTTCGAAATACTTTGTTTCCATGTCGATGATTCTTTGTTCTTCTTTTCGTCCGGGTCTTCCTGTGGAAGACGAGAGTACTTTACTTTAGAGTAGCGATCCATTTTATGTGAATGCTGGTTGATGAAAGATTCGATAATTCTTACGCTGTGCTATTTATAGTAGCTTACAACCACGAAGTCTACAAATAAAAGAAAGTAAGCAGGTACTTGCACGTTTTTTCTATTAAACCATCTTCGGTAGATAAGACACGCATGCACGCACACACACACACGCGCGCCCGCGCGCACATCGAACATAAAAAATTATTATTCGTTATATACCAATTATAATAAATATTTATGTATAATATTTATTATAATTAGTATATTTATTAAAATTTCTTATCATTTGTATGTATTAGCGCTTGGGCCCTCCCCAGCAGCAGCAGCAGCCGCCGGCGCCGCCGCCCACATATCGATCGCGTGTGTAGCCAGTATACACAATACGGTATTGCCCGTGGTAACAGTGGCTGTAGCTCTAGCGGTAGAGCATCGGCCTGCGGATCCGGAGGACGCGCGTTCAATCCCCCGATCCGTCCGTTTTTTTTCAGATAAATCTAAAAATTTTTAACACACGCGCGCACACGCGCGCGCACACACACACACACAATACAAAAAATCAAAACGCGTAACACAGAACGCGCGCGCAGTGCATAGGAATCAAATCAGTAGGAGAGGGGGAAGTGCAGAGAACGCACGCCACATCAGATCAAGCCACATCAGATCAACTCAGTAGGGGAGAGGGAGTGCGTAGAACGCACTGGTATAACTCAGTAGGAGGAGGGGGAGGAGGTGATGCGCGCATAGGAATCAAATCAGTGGGAGAGGGGGAAGTGCTGCAGAGAACGCGCACACCACATCAGATCAAGCCACATCAGATCAACTTAGTAGGGGAGGGGGAGTGCGTAGAACGCACCGGTATAACTTAGTAGGAGGAGGGGGAGGAGGTGATGCGCGCATAGGAATCAAATCAGTAGGAGAGGGGGAAGAACGCACGCCACATCAGATCAACTCAGTAGGGGAGGGGGGAGTGTGTAGAACGTATCGGTATAACTCAGTAGGAGGGGGGGGGGGGAGTCGATAGCGCACGGGCTGATCGGGGGGGGAGGTGAGGTGAACATGCACACGCTTCAACTCACACGCTTCAACTCAGTGAGCTGATACCCCTCTGAGTTGATGCCCCTCTAGTTTACCTACTTATACGGAAGAACTAAAATAAAATTCTAGTTGACATTTTTACGAAAATTCGACTATTCAAGCGCGCTGACTAACAGACTACACGATGACAACTGATATGAAGAGTTGAACGTCGATAGCCTGCGTGCACTACAAATTAATTAAGCCTGCACGGAACTCGGCTCGCGGTGGACAGCCTAATATACCATGTCTTTGTTTACGTATGCAGACGCTTTCCCGGAAAAAATTTGAACCGTGAATTCATGAGACAATATGTATACTTTTAATGTATTTTAAATATACAAGGTACATATTGTATTTCTATAATTTTGGTTTATTAACGGGGGCACCCAGTCGAAAATTTTTTTTCACTATTTCTATCTATCTGAATGATTTTTTTTCTTACATTAGTACATAAAAAAAGCATGTAGTTGAGCTTATTATGTAAAATTATTTAAAAAAATACTCATTGTTAAGTAATGCAGTATAGTTTTCAGTATTTACTTTTAGTAAACAGAGATCTGATGCTGTAACGCTGTAAAATTCTTTTATCTAAATGTGTAAAGCAAAAATATAATAAATGTGAAATATCACGAGATTAGTTTGCTTATCCCCCCTCCCCCTCATGTGATCGACCAGGATATTTTTATGAAATACTCCCCCCCTCGCAGCCATCACGAGATTTATGGACGGCCCCTATGGAAGGAATTTAGCTCGATCGGTGAAATGATAAAATAATTTTTGATTTTTCGTTAACTAATTTCTTAACTTCCTAAGTAATTTCAATTCAAGTATAGAAAAATATACTTTAGTTGAATTTAACCAATAAAAAAAACATAGCTGAGCTAACATTATTTTGTAAGAAAAATATACTAGGGCGAGATTGCATTTAGTTAGTTAACTTACTAATAATTGATCAAGTAGAGATTAACGTTTTAAAGGATATGTATGAGTTACAAATATATCAAAATACGAATATTGATTTTTTAATAAAGTAAAATTACGATATTAAGTATTTCAAAAATAAATCGATTTTATTAAATTTCTCTCCTATGATTTAAACGGTTTTCTAGTGTAATATTGAAGTCGATAGATCTCGAAGCTTCATCAGCGACGTTATTTGAGACGTGATATTTTGTTTCAGATTTATTTTCCGTGCGATGGTAATGTGTTTTCCTGGTATTTTGTGCTCTTGTATAATCGAGATGATCATATTCTATATTTTCGTTTTTCTGTACGATTTCATCATAAACGTGCTCAGATTTCTTGCAATCTATTTCATCTATACTGTGGTATACATTTTGATTGTCTGTATTAGCACATGTATTTTTCATTGACGTTTCATGGTGAAGCTGAAGGTTAGAATCACCTAAAAAATTAACAAATATTCAAAACAATACCTATGTATCCAGAGAAGATTTTCTAATATTCAACAATAAAAACCAGTATTGTAAATAAATTGAATATTTACTTTGGTGATACATATTGACAATAATGAATTTAATACATATCAAAGATGTTACAATTTTTTATAATATTTGCCAATTGAATATTGTATAAAAATTGAAGTTAAAGTCTAGATTATTTGCACACACTTCGCATTTTCACACCTTTCATAGGTAAATTATTCTTTATTAAATCTTGCGAAAGTATAAAACAAAGAAATACGAGAATGACACCCAATATTACAAATAAAAACTATCTTAACGTAATTTATTTTCGGCAACGTTTCGCTAGTTGATCTTCCAACCTCATCAAATTCTTTATTCAAAAAATAAATTAATCCATTGTACAAACATAATGACGATTTCACAATAAGAATGGTATCATTTCGAATAAAAAGAAAAAAAATACCACCGCAACTGCAGAATTTTCTAAGATTACATTATCGATGGCTCATCACATATAGCCAACAAAAAATTTATTGTAAATTTTGTTAAATAAATGTTGAGTTGAGCGGAAATATTTTTTATCGAAATAAATATTCTTTTATTCCGCGAGCTGCACGTAAAATGAATGACGAACGGGCGAGATAGAGGATAAAATAAATAGAGCTGTGTTGACTTAAACTCTATTTAATAAGCTTTGTGTATATAAACCGTATTGTAAAAAATTGAATTTGAAGACTTGTTTTAAAAATATAACAATTGTTAAGGACATTCTCTTGATCTCTACAGTTATGATCGTCCCATATGTTCTCTCACTGCGTTCTGCTATCGGTATAGCAGAACACAGCAGTTTTGCCATACAACGTTGCCACATCGTGTAAGTTCATTTGAAAGGTAGACAGAATCAATCTCCGGCGACTATACATACGTATGTACATGTATCATAGGTAGCAGGCTTATTCGTTTATATTGTTATGAAACGAGTTGAGTACTGTTTTGCGGTGTTACCAAGTTATCATATTTTATGTACTAAATCGTTAAAGGATAAATCGACTCGTAACTTTAAGCAACAAAGTATTCCAAAAGTAATGCCGATATTTATACATATTTGTTAATATGTTATTAATTTCTTATAAGTTGTTCAAAAGAATCGAAAAAAAAGTTATGTTCAAGAGATCATTCTTAAAATAACAAAAAAATGCTAAGATATTGGTTTAAAAGTTTATTCAAAAAAGTTAAAGTTGAGTTAAGTTTGTTGAATTAATTTGTTTGATGTGTTCTATATTTAGCTAACAATTCAAACTATTGAAAAACCTAATATATGATTATATAATTTCAACATTCACTTGAGAATTGAGATTGTATATAATTACTAAAGTCTTCTGTATCTTGTAAAATACTTGGTAAAGTCATGTTTAGTTCACTTTATAGATGAATTTCATAAAAATGGCCTATTTCAATATTATCAATAAAATCAGCGAATTCTTTACCCATCGTTTCTAACTAACGTAAACGGTTATTACTATTACCAACTTGTATATAATTATTTTCTTTTAATATTTCAAAACAAATAAGTAAACTGTCAGAAATCAATTTATATTTCTCCGTATATGATATTTCATCAATTGTTTTAGTTGATAGTATAGATTCCATGTTATGATTTCAATTGATAATCAGCTTTAACAAATAAATATGTTAAATATGTTAAATATGTTAAATAATAATTTTAAAAAAACTTATAACATTTTCAACAGTAATTCTATTTGCGATTCAACGAATCCGCTGCATCACTCTGTCAGCCAAGACAGGTAGTTGAGGATAAATCGAAGTTTTGAAAGTTATTATGGGAATAAGTAGAAATTAATAAAAAAATTAATATTGCTGCACTATGAACAACTAAAAAATACTCGAAATCGATAGATAAATATAATCCTTATTTTTAAAATTAAAAAGTTATTAAAAAGTTGTCTAGTTTCTTTATATTTTAGTTTCTAATTGTTCTACAGTTCTAACAAGTCTTGAGAAGCAAGGGTGAATTTCATTGATAGAGGTGATTGATGAGGGTGAAAATATCTACCCAACTACGTTTCTCGTGTATTATAACCTTCTGAATACGAATTTTCAAAGTAATTTACGGAAAAATAAAGCAGTAATTAATTATTTACAAATTAATTGTTTAAACAATTAAAAAAATGTATTTATATCGTTAACAATATTTTATCTCATCCACGCATTTTTTAGCTCACAAAAAATCTGCCAGTGTTTTTAAAAAATATTATATAGAACCCGAGATATAAGGAATCGAAAATTAATAAAAAACGTGCTCAAATAAGCAGGTTAACAGTAAGTGGCCAACGCAACTATTAAACAAAAATTACAATATCTCAGGTTTTATTTAATTTTTTTGAAATTTGAAAATATCTATGGATTTGTTGTAAGCTAGGAAATATGTGTATGTGATCAAAAGACCGTTAATGATATAAATAAAAGTTTTATAATTGTTTAAACAATTACTTTGTTAATAACTAATTATTGGTTCATTTTTCCGTAAATTACTTTGAAAATTCGTGTTTAGTAGATGAAAATATATGAGAAAATTAGTTGGGTGAAATATTTCACCATCATCAATCATTCTGATCAACAAAGTTCACCCTTGCTTCTACAAGATTCGGAACTTGTTAAAAATTCAAATATAAAAAATAAACATTTAAAAATTTTTTAATTTACAAAATAAGGATAAATAAATTATATTTATTTATCGCTTTGAGGTATTTATAATTTGTTCAGAAAGCAAGAATATTAAATTTTTATTGTTAAAATATATGAATTAATATTTCAAGAGTAAAAGATGTATGTAGTAGCGCATGCGCAAAAGCGCATAAGTACACGGCGAGATATATCTGTATGTATCTATGAGCACAGTCGAAAGAGAGCGTTTGCTTGAGGCAGACCGTGTCTCTAACTATGAGACCCACTTTGTACATATTTGCATGACATTATATTTTATTTAAAAACAAACTCAATCGTTCTTTTATCCCAGTCATTTTTAACATGGTTTTTAACATTTAATAGTGTGATCGATTAAAAGTGAGGTTGATTCAGTGTATGGTTGACAAAGTGAATGAAGAAGATAGGAATGAATGAATGTTGTCTGAAATTTGTTTTTAAAGTTGAAAAATAAGTGTATAAAATGCGAAAGTAAAAAAAAATTATTGAATGATCAAGAAGATGCAAGTGGATACGATTTTAAATTTTGCCGTCATGCGGTGCTTGGCAGGAACACATGGAAATTTGAGGCTATACGACTAAATGAGGAGAAACAAGATAATATAGTACTCAACGTAATGAAACACCGAGGATATTGATAAGTATACTGTGACGAGAGCAAGCAGTACGCTTGCTCTTCGTCTGCCCTTCTTCTCTCTCTCCCTCTTATCGCTCGGCATGGCGACGTGGTCAGCGTTCGGCGCATATATTTATTGCGCCTAACCACTGGCCTTTATGTTTTTCTGCAATCACCCTATCCGAACGGTCAGTTTGTACTGCAAACTGATGCTAGTGACAGTGGGATCGGGGCAGTTCTCGCACAGGATGTCGATGGAGAGGAGCGTGTAATAGAATACGTCAGCCGATCACTCAACAATGCTGAGAGAAATTATACGGTCTCCGAGAAAGAGTGCTTGGCAGTGGTATGGGCCATTGGGAAGTTCCGGCCGTATATTGAAAGGCATCACTTCAGGGTCATCACTGATCATAGTTGCCTGAAATGGCTCCACAATATGAGAAATCCCACGGGAAGATTAGCGCGATGGGCGCTAGCGTTGCAAGGCAATGTCTTCGATATCGAATATCGAAGAGGGGATCTCAATGTGGTGCCAGACGCTTTATCTAGGGCCTATGAGGAGGAGGGGATTGAAATGAGTGCTATAAATAGTCGGCCGGAGACCACTGACGCCTGGTATTTGCAACAATACCAGGAAGTATGCCAGGACTCACACTCTCACCCCACTTGGAAGGTGGTAGGAGGGAGACTGTATCATTATCAGCCTGATGAGGATGGTGAAGGGTCCATCGACAACGATGAAGCATGGAAGCTTGCGGTGCCTAGGGAGAAAACGTACCAGGTGCTCCAGGAAGTCCATGATGCTCCTACTGCAGGACATCAAGGACGAGAGCGTACGTTCTCTAGGGCTAGGCGCTTGTACTACTGGCCTAAAATGTATGATCAGGTCAGGGAGTACGTAAAGAGTTGCCCGGTATGTCAGCAATGCAAGGTGCTGTGACGAGAGCAAGCAGTACGCTTGCTCCTCGTCTGCCCTCCTTCTCTCTCTCCCTCTTATCGCTCGGCATGGCGACGTGGTCAGCGTTCGGCGCATATATTTATTGCGCCTAACCACTGGCCTTTATGTTTTTCCAGCCGCCGAAGATTGCCGAGCAAGATTGAGAGCGCCCGAATAAACAAGAGCGCAGCGACTATGAGGTAGAGAGAGACAGAGAGAGAGAGAGAGAGACAGAGAGAGAGAGAGTGAGAAAGAGAGAGAGAGAGAAAGAGAGTATTAGGCCTATGCAGGGATTGGCAGGCGCGCAACGCGTGACCGATAAGCGACGCGTCGCGTGCCGCCTAACTAATAGGTCAAGGTAGGGAGAAGAGCGAGCGCCGCTGAGCGACTGCAAGATGCGCGCAAGAATTAGTGCGTGAGAGAGTCGCAGCCGAGCCTTACTAGAGTGAGGTAGTTCCCGAAAGAAAGTTGAGGAGAGAAGTTGGAAGTAGCAGCGCAATGAGAGAAGAAGTACACGAGCAGCAGTGACCAGACCAGGGCGAGCCGAGGCAACATGTGGAGGCAACACCTGCAGCAGGGCATTCAGTGTCGCCCTCGCCGCCATGCACGGCATGACTTCCAGGGGATTCACCACGGGCTATGCCGAGGAAGACATCCAGCCAGCGGCCAGGTCAACTCCCCGTTGCCGGCTCATCGCCAAG